GTGTCAAAATATACAGAATGGTCACTTCTCATTATTACTACGGGAGAAAATAAGGATCTGAAATGAAGAACAGGAAGCTACCCGCTGCACTAGCAGTAGCAGTAGCAGTAGCAGTAGCAGTAGTAGTAGTAATAGTAGTTAGTAGTAGTAGTTAGTAGTAGTAGTAGTAGTAGTAGTAGTAGTAGTAGTAGTAGTAGTAGTAGTAGTAGTAGTTAGTAGTAGTAGTAGTAGTTAGTAGTATTGATAGCTTGTGAAAATGCCTTAGGCGATCGCCCCTCCTTCTCTTATAAATAAATAAATAAATAATTCCACATGTTTATACGTATGTACAGAGGCCATTTTTCTTTCACCTCATTTTTCATTTTCCAATTTCTTTCTTATTTTCTGAAAGAAGAGAAGAGAGAGATAGAAAAAAGGGAAAAAGAGAGAGAGAGAGGAAGGGAAAAGGAAGAGAGTATTCAATATATTATAATAATAATAATGACATAGTACTACTGGTAATAGAAATAATAATAGTAGTAGTGAGTAAGAAAAGTAACAACCATGCTGGAAACGGCTCCATTGCACACAAAATGCTTGCAACGTCCACAACAACTTACGATTTATGATTGTATGTGCATGTGTGTATATATATATATGTGTGTGTGTGTGTGTATGTATGTGTGTGTGTTTGTGTATGTATATATATATATATATATAGTGTGTGTGTGTGTGTGTGTGTGGACAACAGCCGGAAAACTGAGGAAATAACATCGAACTGATGCTTTTCCGTAAACAACAGTGATGTGTATAGGAATGGAAATAAACAAACATACATAGATAAAGAAGATCCATAATAAAATGGACATATCTTTTCTAATGATGGGATAATTTCACTTTTCAAATAATCAACAAACAAGAAATGTAGGAGAAAGGAAGAGGAAAAGTTTGATGATTAATCAACTACTAATAATTGGGAAGGAGAATAAACGTATTTATTTATTATTTCATTTAATTATCATAACCTGAAATTAATGATATGGGTGAAATTCAACTAATTATTTTTAGTAATATTTGCTTATGATTTTGTTATAAAATGACGAGCATATGTTGATTTTCCTTTTTTTTTTTTTTTGCTTTCTCTTTGGTGTTATCAATAATTTCTTATCACATTTTTTAACATTATTTGTATATTTTTGATACTTTTGATTTCTTATAGTGAAATGGAACCCAAAAAATGTTATTTAGAAAACGAAAATATATTTATAGTCATTTTAATAAAATTATCCAATAACCTTATCCTTATTTTATTTTTTCGGAAAAATTTTCCGAATATTTAATATTCGGATAACTGATGCACTTCAGGAAAATATCTCCCATAATTATCTCTTCACTTATTGTTAAAACTATTTTCTCTAACCTTCCTGTCAGATGATGATATCTTCTCAGACTTATAGTATGGTACATGGTACCCCTTTTTGTCTCAATTCGCTATTATAATTAATTTAAAAAGTAAAAATTATAGTATATTATGGAACGTATTTTATCTCTATTATTGTTTATAGGTGTTGGATGGTAGTCAAACTATGCGGGTGATACGTCTTCACCGGTTCTCCTGGTAACACCCTGTCTAATAGCAGCGGTAAGCAAATAGTGACGAAATTTAGAAGGAGAAAAAAGAAACTGAAATTCTCGAAAAAAAAAAATCCAGGAGGATGGATACCATCGTAATTGAATGAGTTATGAAGAATTAATTGAAGAAGAACCGAACCAATGGTCACTACAAAGGAACAACGTTTTCAACAAGGTATCCACTTCGAATCTTTATGTTCTTCATACCTGAGTGATCGATTCATTGATCTGATTGCGATTCTGAATTGATGATAATGATTAATAAGAAATTATTTTTAATTCTTTTATAATCATTCTTGTCAATATTATCAATATAACAATATATATATATATATATGATGGCAAAGATTTTTCATCTTAGACAATAATATTAACATTTTCATTGTGCATTTCACATTCAAAAATCATTAGAAAGTATCGTTCAGTTATTCCAAATCTTAAAATTTCATTTATGACATAAATTAATGTATAGTATCTATCATATTAGCCATTAATCGTTAATTTATTTTGTGAAATTTATTCATTCTTGACAAGCGGAACAGTTCAATGATGAGTTGAATAACTTTTTTGTTAATTCTCAAATAATCCAAACAATAAATGATAAAATTCTCATTATGTTATTATTCAATTATGAAATTGAATATATGTGAAGGAAAAAAAAAATTTTGAAAAATTTGCAAAGAAATATAAAGAATTGAAAATTTTAGTTTAAAATTGAAAAAGTAAGCCAAAAAGAGTGACAAAAAAAGAAAAAGGAAATTTTATTAGAAGAATCATTTGATATATCAAATGCTTATATAATATTCGTATAAGACAATCAAACATAAAACGATGATAATATTCTTTTTTTTTTTTATTATATATATATATATTTTTATTGCTAATCATAAAATATTAAAAACTTCTTCCGTCTTCTCTTTCCTTTCTCTCCCATTTTTTAATTTGTTTTTTCTTTGTCTTCCATTTTTTTTCCTTCTTTTAATATTCGTCAGGAATTTTTTCCGCAAAATTTAGCTCATCCGAATTAACACATGAAAGCATAAATCATTTCCCATACCAAATTCGGTTTTCTCATGTTCTTCCCGTTTGTCTAACCGCTATTTATTTTGTTTTTTAATTGTGGTAAAATTTTCCAATTAATTTACAAATCTGTTATTATTATTGATAGTATAATCAATTAATTAATTATAAATGGTGTAATTTGGTCTTCTAATAGTGAATGGATTTTTGTTAGGCGGTAGTTTTTTTTTAGATTTTTTATAAACCTTTTTTTATGAGAGAGAGATTATCCCAAATTGAAGACCATTATTTTCATTTATCTTTATCATTCAAGAATCTAACTTGTTTTTCTGTTTAATTAAAATTCTTTCCAGAATTACATCGATAACACACGTGGCTTTCGTCTAATGCAGCACGATAAGAATGCTACTAGAACGGCTGGCATAAGCCTATCGTCCATCACGCCTTATGACAGTTTCGTCCAACAACAACAACAACAACAACAACAACAGCAACAACAACAACAACAACAACAACAACAACAACAACAACAACAACAAGAGGAACAACAACAACAACAACCATCAAGTGGTAGTTCAGTGCTACCTACCCGATTGACAACATCGAAGTCTTCTGAGCTATTAAATTCAGATGAAGGAAATTCTCCGGGAGTACAGGATTCGTTGCAACAGCAACAACATCAGAGTGACACGACGCAGAAACTGTTAGCTCATTTGAGTTCAACAATTAACAGCAGTCCTGTACCACACGTAGTAACACCTCAAGAAATTTACATAGCTGCTGCAGCTGCAGAAGAAGCCAAACTGCTGGAAACAAGGAAACAACAACTTCTCCAAAAATTGCAACAGCAACTGAACAGCAGTAAGGTATCCGCTAATGGTACCGCCAATGCAGCTGTCGCAGCGCAACTTTGGCTGCAGCAAAGTTGCGCTACGACAACTGCATTGCAACAGCAGCAACAGCAGCAAAAGCTGGCTAATAGGACAAACCAAAATCAACCCTCGATAACTTTGACTAATCATTCCACTGCTGCAAATCTCATACCTGAATCACATGCACAACAACAAAGTACAACTCTTCAACAGGATATCCAGCATCAGCAGCAACAGCAGAAATTGCGGCAAACTGCATTCCCTAATCCCGATTACCAGCAGCTTGTACAGAATGGTGATTTACAAATGAAAGATCAAAGTGAACAGCAGTCACTTTTAGATTCCAAAACTGTTACAGTACCACAACATCATACTTTTCCATCACACCATCCTGTAGGACATACTGACGATGGTTCCAGTGCCTTCCGGCAACCACTACGTCAGCAATACTTGTTTGATGAAAATACGGAAACACAGCAAGATCGTGCTACTGCTGCAACAGTGGCAGTAACTCGAGATTGTGATGATACATTAGTTTTTGCAGTACCATCGTTATCATCGTCAACTTCTTCGTTTATGACATCTTTGCCACGAAATCATCTCTCATCCGTGGAAAGAGATTGTCACAACGAAGAAGAGGATGCCACCGAATCGAGGCTTGTCATCAGTGATACCGAAATGACCGATGATTGTGGTGAAACTAATAAAGCAAGTGAGTCCTATCCAATTAGCAAGGTAGTTGATGAAGGAGAAGGAGGAGGAGAAGGACAACCGTTGTTAACAACCGAAATCAGCAGTGAAATTATCGGCATTTCAACATATGGAACTTCGGGTGCAGTGATTCATGCGGATAATGATGAATTTGTTGAAAAAACGGATAACACCGATGAACAACCAAAAATGAAATCTATTTTAGATTTCGGTAAATTTGAGTTTTTCTATTACAAATATAGTTATCCCTACAACAGAACTGATGAAACAATACGGTTAAACGATTTATAAAACTGATATATGGCCATTTTATACTACCAATGAACGTGCAATATTGAATAACCAGATAGTTAGCTATTAAAAGAGATTTTAAATTTCATTTAAATTAAGCAGATATTTTGCAGCTCGTTTTCTTTTTTTGTTCCTTCATACCACAATGATGAAACTTGCGAAAGCTACCAGATATTTTTTTTTTTTGATGATTGTGAATGAAGTAGAATTGGTATTTAATCTACAGAAAATTTTTTGGAAAACTGAATAGATACGTATAAATGAGTCTTCAATCCTCAAAAAGTTTTGCTCTCGAAAGATTTGCTTGATTTAAAATTCCGGAATCTTCCCCTGTTTATTTTTTCAAATATTAGTATGCGTGTCCTATTGCTGATAGCTAATGGAACGAAATAAGCATGTGGTATATAATTTCTTTTGCAGTAGACGGCGAAGTGGAAATAGATGTTGAGCATAAAGAAAGTGATGAAGATGAAACGGATGAAATACCGATAGCAGATGATGATGGTGCCGGAAGCGGAATGGTTGATGATAGTGGGACCAGGTATATTATAGGACTGTTTAATTCAAATTGATATGTAAATTTTTATATTATCTTTAATTGTTTTTCTGAAATTTCGATATCTATGTAGATTTCCCGGAACCATTACCAATATGCATCGAGATGAGTATTACTGAAAACATTTTAGGCTTCTGGTGAATAATATGGAATCCCCCGAAATATGCGGAACGCATAAGGAAAGACCGCTTGAACAAACTCGATTTGCGGCAATGTGTATTGAAGAACGTATCCTAAACGAAAAATTAGTCCCTTGCACAACATCTTCAGCTGTAACAACCTCAAGCTCCGTGTCAAACACTGTCAGTCCATGCCATCGTTTCGTACCGCAAACAGTATCTGCAACACAAAGTCCACGGTCCGAATCCGTTTCCAGTACATCTGGGTCGTCAACATTTTGCCGTGCTCCCGGCCTAGGTCCAGTAAACACAACGGAAGCGCAGCAGCCTGGTACTACACTTCCACTTGTCTGTAATATCTGTGGCTTCTCATGTAACTCCAAATTCCACTACAATTCTCATATGAACACCCATGGTGATCATCAATGCACGATGTGTGACTATACGTCACGCACGGAAGGACGTTTAAAGAAGCACATGCGTGACTCACATACCGTTGAGGAGCAACTTGCAGCAGGTCTCGACGTAGAACAAGCGCTAACTAGCAGTACTTCGACATCGAGTACATCGCTGGCACGAATCACAACAACGTCTGTGGATGCTAGCAATCTTTCCACCTCGATGGCTTCCGTCTTGGAAGCAGCTAATCTGGCAGCAGCTGCACAAGCTGCGGCACAAGCCGCTGCTGCTGGCTGTTCATCCAACTCAAGCAGTGGTCCGGCCACGTCAGTACCAAGTGATTGCGGTAGTGGTCTCAGTTTGCCATCCGGTTCGGGAACTCCGTCATCTAGTGATATAATGCCATCATCATCGCTTTCCGGTGCTGCACAATCTATAAGTGGATTGGTGCCATCAGCTCTGGATCAAATTCGTGCTTTCACGGAAAATCCAAGCGTGCTACCGGATTTATCATCAGCAAATTTAGCAACAGCACTGATCTCACAAGGTCTTCTTAGCTCACAAACATTCCACGAAAGCATGAAATCGATAAACAGCGATGAACAGTCAATCAGTCCGGTGAACGGTGATAAGCCAAGGCAATGTTCGAGCAAACCAAAAACATATAAATGCAAACAATGTAGTCATATTAGTACTTCTAAGGAAGAGCAGTGGACCCATGCCCGAACTCATATACCGGTCGAAAAGCAACTTGGCTGTACACGATGCGGTTTTGTCACCGAATACAAGCATCATTTGGTATCACTTTACTTGCGCTTCTTTTTATTTTGAGTGCGCTTAAACACCTATAAACTAAAATAAACTAAAGCTGGAATAAAGATTAACTTGTCAATTCAGTTTTTCTTTCTAATGGCGAAGTCTGAATCAAATAATTGGAATCTAATTAGAAATATAGGGGATAGCTTGTGGATCGTTTCGTAGATACGATCAGATCACAGATCAAATCAAATTGTTTCGAAGAGGAAAAAATCATTGTCCTTCAACCAGAAAAAAAAAAATCTTAGTTTTATTTTCTTTACCGAATAAATATATATTAATACCGGAAGCTATTACGAAAATGAACAGTCCGTTTATTTCAGGAATATCATTTGCGGAATCACATGGGATCTAAACCATTCCACTGTAAGAAATGCGCTTATTCCTGTGTCAACAAATCGATGCTTAATTCACATATGAAATCACACACAAACGTTTATCAATTTCGTTGTCGTGACTGTACCTATGCTACAAAATATTGTCATAGCTTGAAATTACATTTAAGGAAGTACAATCATAATCGAGCTACTGATGTCACCGATTCAGCTGCAAGTATTGCTGTCAATGCTACCGCTAGCACGAGTAACTTTTGTAATGGTAAATAATGCTGTAATATATTTTTTCCTTTATTCATAATATGAAACATATAATATATGAAAGTAATTTGTTAAGGTTCAACGCAATCAGTTACGGAAAATGATGATACGGCGATGCGACGTCTAAGCGAATCTCTTGCTGTACAATCTGTTGATGGTTCCTCACCGGAACCATTACCAACAACATCAACTATGGCACAAGAGTTAACTGCTGCATTGGGTATGACACCAGTTGTCACAAGTAATTCTCTAAACATAGCTTCACATTTGCTCTTTCGACAGCAACATCAGGTATTTACTTTTTTCATCATTTATTTTCAGAATGTTATCCGTAAATAATTCAAATATAATCAGTTAATTTTTGAATATGTAGCCAAATTTGATCAATTAATTTTCTTAAAACTCCTTTCTGGGTGAGATTTTTGGATTTTTCTCAAAAATTTCGAACAATGAAGTAGATTTTAATGAAATTTTTAAGCATAATTAAGCGAACACCTGAAGAAAGCAAAATGGAATGATGCTACAATTAATTAATTTAAACAGATAATATGTGAAAGAGAACTTTTATTTGCAGATGGAAGAAATGGAATTGTTGCTTCGATTGAAAAATATAACTGAGATGAATCCAGGTGCTATGCTTGGCATATCTTTGCAATGTCCAGCATGTAGTTATCAAGCAATCAATCAGAGCGATAGTTTACGACATCAATTGAGCCATCTGATAGGTCCAAATGGCGAAAATCCACTCATACCACTGTATAATATATTTGGCATACCACAAACAGCTGGTGTACCCAGCGAAACATCATTGTTCGTATCCTTTGGGTCATTTTAAAACATTTTAAAATTTTATCCTGCTGGTCATTCTTAATTTTTTTCTTCATAATTGAGTGGATTCCTTCAAAAATAAGTTTTGCTGTCATTTTGCGGTTTAGGCCAAATTATTATTCAATTAAAGGGAAAAGAAAGGAAGAAATATTTCCATGATTCTATCCTTCTTAGAAATAATAGATTTTTTTTTTGATTTGACGGTGGCTCGTTTTAAGATTTTTCCAAGGTTTCACATGAATTGCAGCGAATCAAGCAGTAACCTGAACGAACCAATGGAACAACAGGATGATGAAATGGAAACATCAAAAGTGGAAGTGGATGATTTTATCAGTGGTACTGATATTGATGAAAAACCTGGTATAGCTGATTCAGATGATCATATTATGAGTGATATTTCTGGTACGCTTTTTATTCAATTATTTTCAGGAAACATAATAAAGGTACTATGTCATGATGAAAGAATGATTAAGATTTTTTATTAGAAATTTCATGTGAACTAAAATTTTGATATATTCGGTTAACTAAAGTTGTACGATTCGAATTATCGTTTGCATATAATCAATTAAATACTTCCAAACAGAGTATTTTAACAGATTGTTTAATGAATAAACATATTTAATGTACAGTCTTCAATGTGCAATTATCTCATCTAGTCTTCACGTATTTTCTGATAATTTAGCTCAATACTAACATGGTAGCAAAATATCGGAAATGTCTCAATTTATTTAGATTAAGTAGGAGAGATATCATGAAATTGTTGGATTGCTTTATAACTCGATTTTTCGGAATAAATTTGCCTACTTTAATGAGAATTAATTGTCTCAGGATAGTCAAATAAATGTAAAGCATCATTATATTTCAGGTGAATCAGATGATTCACCAAGTTCTGGAAAAAGCAGCACTGATGAGGGTTCATCCGGTATGGAACAGGAAAGTGATAGAGGTGCGAAAAAGCGAAAAGCTGGTTTAAAGTTAAACCAAATCGCTGCACGGCTTCAGGAGAAAAATTCACCAGAAAATCCCGGTTCCATTGATAGTATAGATGACTCTAAGTATGAAGTGAGATTTTCAATAATTTAAATTATTCTTTTTATTCTTTCTTAATTTCCAATATTTCGCTTATCATTTTATTGTTTAAAAAAAAATTCGTTTTAAAAATAAAATGTTTTATTTCAAAATATTTTTTGCAAATCATCAATGCAGCTATTTCAGGGATTGCTATTATCAGGAATGAAAGAGAATGCAATGAATGAAATGAGCGGAACATCCTTAGGTATAGTTTTAGATTCACAAGAAGCGCCATCGATGTCATCATTACCATCAACAACATCGTTAGCACCACAACCACAAATAATACCACCACTTGGAATGCAAAATGATCTAATTAATTTAAGTAATTTAAATATTTTCCAACAAGCATGTATCGCTCATATGCAAGAAATGGAGGTTTGTTTTTACAACTAATTTTAATTCTAATTTCTTTACTTCTTTACTGGATATATTAAAATATTGAAAATTATTTTTATATTTGTAAAATAAATTAATAAAAGTTTTATGCATTTTTCTTCTTTCATTTTTTTTTTTTAATTTTAAATTTCAGCGTAAGCTGCATATCCTAGAATTATGGCGTTTTTCATGTGGACATTGCAAAATGGCATTCCAAGATGAGCCACTATATCATATTCATATGGGATATCATGGTTATGAGAATCCATTCAAATGTAATCGTTGTGGCCAAGCATGTTCCGATTTTCTCACCTTCAATCTTCATTTGCTACAAGCAAAACATTGAAATCATCAAATTTATCTATTCTTTTTTTTTTTTTTCTTATTACTCTCTTCATTCTCTGTTTAGCAAAAGTTCAGGTTTACATCTCACTTTTGTGTAAATATAAATACACAAATATATGTATATTTTATCCTTAGCAGGGATATATGTCCTTTTTTTTTTTTTTTTTAATTTTATTTTCTGCCATTTTTAAGGCATAATTCATTCATTCATTCATTCATTCCTTTTTTTCTTTACAGTGTTCTTTTTTACAATAGCAAATTAATGTTAAAAAAAA